TGCTATAAACTTCCCTCTTAGAACTTTTGCTATATCCCATAGGTTCTGGTATTTTGTGTTTTCATTTTCACTTCTCTCCAGGAATTTTTTTATTTCCTTTTTTATTTCTTCTTTGACCCATTCCTTGTTTAGGAGCATGTTTAATTTCCATGTATTTGTATGGTTTCTAGTGTCCCCTTTGCTGTTGATTTCTACTTTTATTCTTTTGTGGCCAAACAAGGTAGTTGATGTAATTTAAATTTTTTAAAATTTGTTGAGGCTTGTTTTATGACCTAGTATATGGTCTATTATAGAGAATATTCCATGTGCTGCTGAGAAGAATGTATATTCTGAAGCTGTTGGATGAAATGTTCACTATATGTCTGTTAGGCCTAATTGGCCTAGAGTAGAGATTAATTCTGATGTTTCTTGGCTAATTTTCTGTCTGGATGATTTGTCTTTGATGAAAGTGGGCTGTTAAAGTCACCAACTATTATTGTGTTGGACTCTATTTCTCCTCTTATGTCTAATAGTAATTGCTTTGTATAGCTAGGAACTGGGTGCTCTGGTGTTGGGTGCATATATACTTCAAATTGTTGAATGGATCCCTTTATCACTATATAATGATCTTCCTTATCTTTTTTTACTTTCCTTGGTTTGAAGTCTACTTTATCTGTTATAAGTATAGCTACTCCTGCTCTTTTTTGGTTTCCATTTGCATGAAATATCTTTTTTCCATCCCTTCACTTTCAGTTGGTAGACATCTTTATAGATGAAGTGAGTTTCCTGTCAGCAGCATATTGTTGGTTCTTGTTTTATAATCCATTGAGCCACTCTCTGTCTTTTAATTGGGGCATCTAATTCATTTACATGCAGGGTTATAATTGGTATATAGGGATTTGTTACTGCCATTTTGTTACTTATTTCTGGTTGTTTTGCTAATCATTTTTTTCTTTTTTCTGATATTACTGTCTTCCTCTGTGGTTGAGTGGTTTTCTTTAGCAGTGTATTTTGATTTCTCACTATTTATTTTTAGTATGTCTCTTAAAAGTTTTTGTGTTATGGTTACTGTGAAGCTTACAGAAAAACCATGTTATAGTTTTATTAACAAATTCTTTTAGACTAATAACAACTGTGATATCTAAGAAAATAGGAAGAACCAAAGCCAACTCTAAACTTTGGCATTTTCACCTGCCCCACACTGTTTGACATTTTGTTGTTTCAATTTCCATCTTTTAATATTGCATGTGTCTTATACAATTGTTTTATTTGTTGTTGTCTTGTTAGGTTTGTCATTTAGTCTTCATACTAAGGATGTAAGCATTTTATTCACCACCCTTATGATATTGGAGTATTCTGAGGTTGTCCTTGAACTTATTCTACTAATGAGGTATATACCTTCAGCTGTTTTCTTGCCACTCCTTGGTGTCATCTTCTTTCAGATTGAAGAATTCCCTTTAGCATTTCTTATAAGGAAGGTCTAGTGTTGGCGAATTCCCTTAGCTTTTGTTTGTCAGAGAAAGACTTCATTTCTCCTTCATATCTGAAGGTTAGTTTTGCTGGATAGAGAATTCTTGGCTGACAGCCTTTTTCCTTCAGCACCCTGAATATTTCCTCCCATTCTCTTCTGGCCTGCAGGGTTTCTACTGAGAAATCCATTGAGATATATTGGTGCTCCATTGAATATTATATGTTTCTTTTTTTGTTGTTGCTTTTGCCATCCTTTCTTTGTCTTTGTTTTTCGATAATTTGATTATGATGTGCCTTGAGGTGTTTCTCCTTGGATTGAATTTGGTGACATCTGAGCTTCCTGTACCTGGATCTTGTCATCTTTCTCCATACTTGGGAAATTTTCAGCCATTATTTCCATGAATATGTTTTTTACATTTCTTCTTTTTTCTTCTTCTTTGGATATCCAAATTACTTGAAGGTTAGGGTTAGGTTTAGGGAACCTGGGTTTCTTTACTCTCGGGTGGCTTCACATGTGTTTCTCCCCAGATCAAGGCAGACACGTAGGTAGCAAATGTACCTACCACCACCACGTGTGCTACTTTGTATGGCAGCATAATTCTCCCTGTGGATTGGGCCACTGGTCTGTGCTCACTCACCTCTCTCCCCAAGATCCACTGTTGACTCTCCTTGTGTCAATGCAGTCAAGTGGTAATTGGGTGGTGGCTGCTGCTGCAGCATCAGTCCACTTTTGCAGCAGCAGTAGCTGTGGTGGTGGCTGTGGCAGACCACCTGTGTATCAACAGTGTCTGTGGCAGCCGTGGGGGCTGCCCATGGCTGCTGAGGTCCCTGTATACTCCTTCTGCCTGTATTTCCTGTATTTTGGAAGGCAGCTATGCTCACCACTATACCACCAACGCCTGCTCTTTCCTGTATTTTGAATCAAGGTAGATTTTCTTTAGGCAGTAGTAGGAATTCTCAATAGTCTAATTGTGAGTTTCTTAGCCAGGGGTTGATCCTCAGTCTCCATGAGAGGCACCCCCTGGAGGTGGAAGTGGGGATGGGGGCAACAACAGTGGTGTAGGGGGTGGAGCGGTGGTGCTGGGCAGGCAATCAAGCCAGCAAATGAGTGCAGTGTGACTCATCTGGTAACTATTTCTTTAATTTGCTATTGCCTTTTTTTTTTTTAAAGTACAAATGTGGACTTTAACACTAGTTTACATTCTGAATATACCACCAAGTTTGAGGTTTGATTTTTTTCTTTTAACTCATCAGAAAATAGTCATATAATATAAATATTTGTGAGTGGGGTTTATGTTGGAAAAAACAAAACCCCAACATACTTAGCACAGGAGTAATCTGATGCATCACATTTAATTACATGCATCAGCCTTTACAGCAGGGACTAGACTGTGTGCATTTTTACATCCCAAACCTTACAAAGTATGTGCACAGTGTGCACTCTCAGGAAATGTTTGCTGAAAGAATTGATTATGAAGCTTCATAGGCATGATTTTTTTTACGAGTGCAATATTTATAGTTTTATTTTTATTAATTTATTTACTCCATAACTAAGAACAGCTTCGTTGTGTCAGCAGATCCTATCCTATGTTTGTTAGTTCTTTTTCATAGTCATGATTTTGGTTACTTCCAAATTTACTTTGTCAAACCAAGATTTTCTGGGCAGGATGAGGGGGAAGGAGAGAGCTAGGTGCAGTGAAAGCCCTCTGAAGGAGGAATAGAAGTCAAAGGGCAAAGAAGGGGGCCAGGGAGCAAGGAGGCAAAAGGATGATTTGTGGGACAGCTGTTGCTTCTCTTTCCCCTCTGCCACCAGAAGGGATCTGGGTCAGCCCGTCCCTGTTTAGTGAGAGCAGACACTGTTCCTGTAAAAGAGAACCCAGCACCACAGAGCAGTCCAGATACTGCTGTGTGTGAAACCCCCACTCCTATTGAACTCTGTTCTCCTTATCCCCACCCCTCCCCAATGGGAAAGGCCCAGCCACCTGGGTCCCTTGAGGTCAGGGTTCCAGGTAACAGGAGAGCCTGGCTTGCAAAATGAGATCATTTAATTACCTGAGGCCAGTGATGCAGGAAGACACAGAGCAATCCATCTGCTTTAGTGACCAAATAGATCCTTTGCCTCATCCTCCTGTGGAAGCAGTCAAGGCAGGGAGGTTAGGGAGGTGACCTTCCAGAACTGAATCTATGCTTCTAAAAATAGAAGCATCTTTTGAGAATAGAGAAGGGGAGGGGAGGCTGTGGATGTTGAGGGCAAGAACCTGACTCCCCAGAGCACTGTCAGTATGAAACTATTAATTAGACACAGGCATCTAGCTCCATAACCTCAGGTATCTCTCAGAAATCAAAACTAAATGAACTGGCATTTTTTTCTCCTTTCTGGCTACACTCTCCCTGGGATGAAAGGAGAAAGAGAATCGTGTATTCTGACCTATATGAATGGCTGAACACTGCCTGAGGAGATGTGTGCCCAGCAGAGGGACATGGAGGCTCCTCACAGACGCAGCAAGAGAATAGAAGAGCTGTGGTGAAGTGGGGCCTAAGGACAGGCAGCAGGGGCCCCTGGAGATCTGGGTCTCCACACTTTTCTCCCTGAGTAGAGGCTTGTGGGTCTAGGCTAGTGTCTAGGGGTGTCCAGGGCTGTGGATGTGTGGAGTCATTGGATGCCATCTCAGTCTCATGCAGAACTATGTGAGGGACTAGAAGTTTCCAGGGTCCAGTGGAGGCATGAGCTGACTGCACAGGTTGTGTGTGGCCAGGTTGCGTGCAGTGCTCTGGGGCACAGTGATTGCATGTGGGGGTTGGGGTATACAGGGGTGTACAGGGATATTATGACTGACTTGAGGGCACCCTGCAGGGGATTGGGTGGGGTGGGGTGAGGACCTGTTTGAGAGATGGCACGATGCCTCATGGGGCAGCTATGTGCAGAATGAACCTAGGCTATGAGTGGACCTGTGAAGAGGGACACCTCTGTGTGGCTTGTCCTGGGGTCTCTGTGGATTTTTGTAGGCATATGAGTAGGGAACACTGTGGAGGATCTTAAAGTCTGCAGGGGCTTCTGCACCGGGGGCTGGGTTGTGGGCTCTGTGGCCCCATGTGAGGCTGTGCAGTGCTGTGTGTGGCTGGATACGTGGTGGCAGAGGCTGGGCCAACCTTGCAGCTTTGCCAACTGAGGATGGGCTATGCTTATTTAGGGTGAGGAACTCCCTCCGTGTGACTGACACGAAGGGAAGAGATACCAGGGATTCATGAGCTGAGCAAAAGGAGCTGTGTGGTCTCTTCCAGTGCTGTCCTGCAGCTGAGCTTCAGGCTCAAGATGCTTTCTTTTTTTTTTTCCTTTTTGTCCTTTTTTGTGACCGGTAAGGGGATCGCAACGCTTAGCTTGGTGTCGCCCGCACCACGCACCGGCCATCCCTATATAGGATCCGAACCCGCGGCAGGAGCGCCGCTGCGCTCCCAGCGCCACACTCTCCCAGTGCCGCACTCTCCCGAGTGAGCCACGGGGTCGGCCCTCAAGATGCTTTCTAATGCTTCAGTTTGTGCTCTCTCAACAGGACAAGGTGGATCTTGGAGAGTTGATGTTTTCCCTCTGCTATCTTCCAACGGCTGGCAGGCTGACCATTACCATTATAAAAGCAAGGAATTTAAAGGCAATGGACATAACAGGAGCATCAGGTGAGACATTCCCAAACTCAGACTTCCTCATCCTGTTCTAGTGTTCCTTATGAAATATGTAGTATTGTAATAGAGCATGTTGACTTCGAAACCAAACTTCCTAGGTTTAATCCCAGTCCTACCACCTAATAGCTGTGTGACCTTGGGCACGTTACTTAACCTTTCTGGCTTCAGAATTCCATCTGTAAAATGAGGGTAATAATAGTATTTGGCTCATTGGATCGTTGAAATATTAAGTGAGTTGATATATATAAAACTGTAAGAACAGCATCTGATGTACGCTAGATGCCACATAATGTTAGTTATAGTTGTTGTTATTATTCTATCATGGGTCTTCTCCCTCAGCATAATTGTGTACTGGACCTACAGTTTGCACATGCTGATATAGCTTATCTAATTGGGTCTCCTTAGATATCACTGTTCCAAGCTTATTGAAGGTTGAAGACAATTATATCTCCTTATAAAAATGAACTATGCCATTTGGGTAAATCAAGCAAGTACACTTTCTAAACCCTAACAAAAGATGCCTCAATATGTAGTTTCTACTATACGAGTTCACAAGCAGCCTCTGCAGAGGCTCCCAAAATGTGGTCACCAAACACTCAGCACAAACTGGCTCGCAGTCACTGAACTCAAAGAACATTAGATGCAATATATCCTGCATCCTATAGTCCAGTGTTTTCCAAAGCAGAAAAAAGATATGGCCCCTCTGGCCCTCTGAGTCCCTCCTGGGCCACGTATAGGAGTTGGGGAAATGCATGCTTATGCAGGTGAAGAGAGGAGAGCTCCCCACTGAGCAGGGGGGTGGGGGACCAGAAGAGCCCTGTGTGAAGAAGATCCAGCCTGTCATCTGTCACCCCATTGCAGCATTCCACTACAAGCAAGCCTGTATCCTTTCTTTCCTTGACATGCTGAACTGCTTCTCTCTTTGCAACCCAACTGAAGGTGGCTTGGGGGCTCCAGGCCCCTATATTTCAGGAAATCCACCCCTAGATGCCCTCCCAGTCCTCTAGGAATTCAGGAATCCTAGGAATCTAAGGATTTTCTTTCTTAAGGATCTGGTCTATGGGAAAGATTCCCTGAGGTGGCTGAAAGTCAAGGGGGCTGTTTCCCAGGCCTTGAAATTGCCTATGCACTGCTTTTACTATCACAGCCAGGGTCTTGAATTCTAGCTGGAATGTTTTCTAATTCAGTAACAGATGTTTTTACACTATAGTTAAATTTCACTCATTTTGAGAAGACAGTGTCCTGTGCTTTTTCTTGAATGAATGACTTAATTATCCAAACTTTAGTTGCTGCCTAATACATATTAATTAAAATCCTCAAACTCCAGGGCCGGCCCGGTGGCGCACTCGGTAGAGTGCGGCGCTTGGGAGCGAGCACTGAGGGTTCGGATCCCATATAGAGACCGGTCCGCTCACTGGTTGAGCGCGGTGCGGGCGCGACACCGAGGGTTGCGATCCCATTGCTGGTCACGGTACGGGTGTGACACCGAGGGTTGCGATCCCGTTACCGGTCACGAAAAAAAAGACAAAAAGGAAAAAAAAAAAATCCTCAAACTCCAGTCCACAGGCAGGTGAAGGAGTTCTGCATACCATAGTCCATGAAAACCAACAGTGCTGTTACCTGCTGGCCTAAATCTACATTTATCCTCACAGTACCCCTGCTTCTCATGGTCTCTACAGATCCCTACGTGAAAGTCTCACTGATGTGCGATGGTAGACGACTGAAAAAGAGGAAAACGTCCACCAAGAGGAACACACTGAATCCTGTTTACAACGAAGCCATAGTCTTTGATGTCCCTCCTGAGAACATTGACCAAATCCACTTGTCCATAGCAGTCATGGACTATGACCGGTGAGATACCTGGAGTTCTTTCTCAGTGCGAGTGCACTGTGCCAGGGGCAAGGAGGGCAGAGGGGGAGAGCAGCCATAAAGTCTTAGGTGGTGTCTCCAGCCACAGGAAATGAGTTGAAGGAGCGGTACATGGAAAACAGTCACTATTTGCCAAACTGTGCTGTAGGTTCAGATTGCCAAAGTGCCTCTCAGCTCTCCCGTTCTTTCCTCCCCCTTACTTGTTTCTTTCTCCTTCTCCACCCTCCCCCCAACCCACCTCTTCCCCTCTTCCATCTCTGCGCACCTCCTGGAACCTCAGCTTGGAGAACTGTGGCCCTCAGGTCTTATCTTCTGTTGAACAATCCTGACTGCCCTTCATGGGAAAGATTCCACTCAAAACAGCAGAATGATTAATTTATCCAAACCATCAACATTTCTAAATATATAACTTCAATCTTTTTCCTTCTTGCAATGTGTTTAATAAAGATCATTTCATTCACTGAAGTCTGAAAGCAAACAGAAATGTTCTCTTGAAAATTCTGGAATCAGTATGGATGACAGCGTACATTAACATGTATAAGATGCTTGGATTTTTAATTAATACAGCACAGGAGAGATATTTATAGCCTGCATTGTAGCCAATTGTGTATTTAAAGGACAGATTTGAAAAACAGTCATTTTATTATGCAAAGAAAGTACCAACAGGGAATTATACATGTTAAACCAGTCATTAGACTGAAATGCAAAGTCCCTTTTTAATTAGAAACCTCCCACGTGGTCTGGGAACAATTATAAAAAAAACCTATTCTTAAATCTAATATAATCTTGCAAGTATTATTTATAGCTAAAAATTTTCCCACATCCTTCTGAAATGCCAGTAAGGCAGCTTCAGTGACCTGAACACTCTTTCCAGCAGATGTCAGCGTGAAGCATGACATCTTCCAACCTAAGGTACGTGAGTTGGCTCTGGTGCCCATGGGTATGACAGCCTATGCTGGGCAATAGACCTTGTCCCATCTCCTCTAGGCAGCACACAACACCAATAGTGTCAGGTCCCAGGAGGGGACATTGCCCACCAACTGTGGAAGGCAAGGCCAGCATTTTTCAAGCTATTGCCAAGTTTCCTGCATTGACAAATCTGATTATGTGAGCTCTGCCTCAATTTAATTCTCAGTAAATTCATAAATCTGGCCTGGAAAAATCCATGGCAGAATTCATGGGGCTTCTGCATGCGTCTGATTTTAATAAGCATAGACTCAAATATCCTTCACGCTACCTCTCCAACCTTGTCTCAGCCCTTTACTCCCCACATACAAATAGGAGAAAAATCACTCATCTTTGCAGGAAGGAAAAAGAAAGAGAGAAAGTATGTGAGTTTGGATCCCAAAGAGTTAAATGATGGGCTATATCATTCCAGTTATGCAAAAGATAAGAAAAAAAAATTGGCCCAAGGCAGGGACCTACCCAGGGAAAGTTTCACAAATATTAGGAGTAAGGTTAAAGAAGATAAGTATCTTTCTGCAGTTGAGGAATCAAGTTGGGTCAAAGAAGCATAGCTGGATTTAGAAGGAAAGAGGGAATGCATGAGACAACAACAGTGTTCTCTAAAGAAAGGGGGAGCAAGAAGACCCAGGAGCTCTTCAACTCTGCCCCATTTGTGAGTTCAATACCCACAGCTGCCAGACACAGAGCTGCTCCCTCACCTGTTTTTGGTTGCCTCTGTGGGAATTTGAGCAGCCGTTATTGCAAAAGCCTCCTTTCAGATGGCTCCCTTTTCATTACATGGATTAGGAGGCCAACCTAGTTCCAAAACCAGAGGTGGCATTCTTAGCATACATCAGGGAGTTCTTCGAACACAGGGTTCTTAGGAATAAGCTAACCCTTGTCAGTGATAGGAAATCTGGGATGTGATATTAGATCCTAAGTCCTATTGGCTGTTAAGTTTGGCCTGCAGTTTTGAATTAGGGAATGAAAGAAACCACCACTTCCCCAATTCCTCCATCAGTTTAATTGAGTTGCTGTTGCTCTTACATACCAAAATTTTAAGAAAAAACTATTGTGGAACATTTTCACAGTGTAGGTCACAATGAGATTATCGGCGTGTGTCAAGTAGGCAACGAGGCTGAGAGGCTGGGCAGAGACCACTGGAGTGAAATGTTGTCATATCCTCGGAAGCCCATTGCACACTGGCATTCCCTGGTGGAGGTAAGACCCTACCCCAACATGTTCCACTTTGCAGAAAAGTAAATGCTTTACTGTTGAGATGCGGGAGCCACTAGAAGTGTGAGTGTACCGGGATCTATGGTCACAGATGGGTCTTCCTGGTTGCATTTCCTGGGGCCATTGGGACTTGATTCAATCTGATATTGAATCTATTCTCCCCGCTGGCCTGGCAGGTTTTGAGCATTGAGAGATCATCCCTCACTGTGATTATCATTAAAAATATCAAAATTCTCTAATTTCATGTTATGGCTTTGGGTTGGCATTTGGAGGTTATCTGCAGGATCTGGGTGAATATTGAGTTTCAGGCCATCATATAGTGACTTGAGCCTGACTTTGAAAAGAACTTGATACTGAGAGAGAGCAGGCCTAGATTCTAGGACTGGGTCCGGCTCTAACCTGTGATTCTGGGCAAGTTGGTTAGTATCAGATTCGACTACATATAATAAAAACCAAAAATAACAAACCATAAAAGAACAATAAATGAAGTGGAAATCTATTTCTCTCTTATATACAAGAGGTCCAGAGGAAGGAAGTCTAGGGTATTGTGTTGGCTCCATGATCAATAGAAACCTAGACTTCTGTCTTCCTGCTTCATCATCCTGCTGTGGCTTTTTTCCTGAAGTCACCTTGTTGTGCAATACAGATGCTAAGCTCCAACCATCACATATCTTCCAGGCCATGAAAAAGTACAAAGAGGCAAGAGCCAAAAGGACACATAGTCCTTTTTTAAAGATTCTCTTTGAAGTCTCATGCAACACTGCTATTTACATTCCATTTAGTTAGAGAACTTAGTCACATGGACATGGCTCGTTGCAGGGGAGGGTGGGAAATGTATTCTGTTTATGGGTGTTAATGTTCCCAACTAAAAACCAGGGTTCTGGTTGCAAGGAAGAAGAGGAGAGGATTCCTGGAGGCGACTGGTCATCATTCTGCCACTTACACCCTCCTCCATTCCCTCGCTCCCCCTCACTGACTTCTCTATTCACCCCCATTCATCTTTGCTCACTGACTCACTCTCTTACTTATCCACTAAGTCCTTTTCTCAAAAATAATTTGTACACATGAGTAACATTTCTGAGGGCCAAATGCCATAAAAGATTCAGAAAATACAGATGTGAAGAAGAAAACTCCCTTCCCTTGTATAACTTATCGGCCATAAGAGAAATGGAAGACGGAAGACGGTGCATAAACTAATTATTAAAGTGCGTGACTGTAAGCTTCCCCATCGACGTAAAGTGCTGCAGGAGCACAGAAGAGAGAGGTCTATGTTGTGCTTAGGGGAGACTGTCTATGAAGCATTCTTTCTTCCTGCTCTCAGTAAATGTAGAGAACTGAGCCCCTGGGATTGGGAATGCCCAGAAGCAGGTGACAGTTGCTTAAGAAGGGCACCTGGGTCCCAGGCAGAGAACTTTCCTCCATTCTCCTGGTGCAGGCAGCTCTGTTCCCTGCAAAACCATCCTGAGAGACCAAGACAGAGCCTTGCCTGTGTGGGCACCTCTGCCATGGATAGTCAGGTGAGTATGGTTGGAGTGGTGCAGGTGTCAACAGGCAGGAGGCCTCACACCCAGGCCTGAGGGCAAGAGACATCTCCTTTGTTGGAGATGGTGCAGGAGGGAGAAGGGTAAGACAGTGTTTATGGACTGATTCTAAGGATCAGGTTGTCTGGGTGTATTCAAGCAGAGCCTGGGGCCCACTAATTTTCAGGTCCCTGAGGTCATCTCTGCCCCTGGGCCATAGGAGCTAAGATAGACTCTTTCTTTCCTGGGACAAAAAATTAATCCCTAAGGGAGCCGCATAGGACTTATGAGCCATTTGAGAAGTAGCTCATGGTGAATTTTCAAAGTAATCCATCTGTGGCCTTATTAAATTGTCTGGGCCTGTCATGAGCAGCGGCAGTTACGGCAGTTGTAATAAACTTTTGTACCCTTGCAAGTCATTGCTGGCTTTAATTCTTATTTGTAATTGGGAGTGTCAAAGAGTGTCAAAGCTCTGTTCTTCTCAGTAAACAAGAAGTTGAAAAGCAGTAAGGATGAGGAGTGTGATGCAGGGCTGAGAGCTGAGCCCTGGTTCATGCACAAGCAGTGTGGGCTCAGTAACTTTGGCAGTGAGTATCCCCTATCCCCGGTGTGTGATGTGCATGGACCCTGTGTGGCAGCAGTGCATGCACGTGTTACACAATGGAGAATGTAGAAAATGGACCTTGGAGGCTTCCTCCACTGCTGTATGACACTGGTCACCTGGGAGGTATTTCTTAAAACTTGAGCACTCATCGTTTTGCAAATCTGTGTTCGACAATTATGCAAGTGAGAAATAAATGTCTTTAGGTTCAATTGCTGAAACTTGGGAGTCATTTGTTACAGTACCTAGAATTACTTCAGCTAATACAGTGGTTGTTTCTCAACTGTTGCAGTAGATCTAAGGAAATGAAATGCCTGTGCCCCTTCTATGGAGGGCACACCAACGGAGGCCGCCCCTTCCCTGTCGCTTCCTGTCTCTTTGAAGTACCTGCCCAGGACTCCAGATCCCTCCCGAGAGGGGAAGCAATGGCTTCCCTTTTAAAAATAAATGTGTAACTGGCAGAACTGGGGCAGTGGAACCAGATGAGATGAAAAGCAGTGTTGGAGAGGTTAGCTGTGCCTTGCTCTTAGCTGTAAGGATGGAGAGAACAGTGGGCAGAGCGGTTGGAAGCACTCACTCTGGAGTTGGATGGACTTGAATTGCTGTGCTGCCATCTATTAGTTGTATGTCTTCCCCCTCTGAATCTCAGTGTACTCATCTGTAAAGTGGCCATAAGAGCACCTCCTCACGAGGGTGGTGGTGAGGATTCAGCAGTCTAATCCATGTGAAACGCAGCCCTGTGGCTGGCACATAATAAGTGCTCAGTAAAGTTCTCCATTACTATAATTATGTGTATATCCCACATTCTGAGGGGCTGCTGTGTGTCCTCATGAGACTTTTCTCACACAAAGAAAGGCTGGGAACCCCCCAGCCCTGCACCCAGTGAGCCATCATCTCAGATTGGAAGAGGGGACTTGCTGAACCTAGATGCACATAAATAAGTTGTGTCTCGGGCTGAGCCCGTGATGCACTCGGGAGAGTGTGGTGCTGGGAGCGCAGCAGCGCTCCCGCCGCGGGTTCGGATCCTATATAAGGATGACCGGTGCGCTCACAGAGCTCACTGGCTGAGCGCGGTGCGGCCGGTCTCAAAAAGGACAAAAAAAAAAAAAAAGTTGTGTCTCTTTTCCTCTTTTCCTTGGCTTTAAAGATAAGTTGCTGTTGTACTAAGAACCTTTTAAATTTCTGCTTTAAAAGAAAAACAACAATTAAATCCCAGTCCTCTTGATAAGTGTGTGTGTGTATGTGTACACATGAACATGTACGTATGAAAGAGAGAGGGAGAAATGAATATGGGGGAGTTGGAATTTAGTGTGAACAGGGGCTGGCCTGGCAGAAGCTTTTCACTGCTGGGGACCTAGGGATCAGGTGAGGACTGAACACTGAGCCCTGCAGAAATCTGGCAGCCTGCTTATGGCTGCATTCAATATACCCTGACCTTGCCAGGGCAGGTGGCAGATGGAGTCTTCAATGCCAATGAGTTCAAAAATCCATTTCTCTCTCAGGGATTCTGGATGGCTTCATTGCACACTCAAAGGTCAGCCAATACTGCTGCCTTTACTCTCCATGATGTCAAAGGCTTGGAAATCTGGGCAAACCTCCCCCAGATCAGGCTGCCAGGGACTTGGAGATAGCAGCATCCCCTCCATGGGGCCTCCGGAGATGGCAGCACTCTAAGGGATCCCTCACCACAGAACCCTCCATACAACCAAAAGAAGATAGTGCTTCCTGGCCTTATTCTAGCACTTGTCCCACCCTCCTGAAGGTCAGGCTGACCCACATCATGACCTTCAGGGAGACTAATAGCAAATAGTTCCAGGTTTTTGTTGCTTCCCTGTGTAGTGCTATATAATATCTGTATTAACAAGTAGTAAACTTGATTTGATGGGAAGACCAGACACAGACACATTTGGTTAAATCAAATTTTGCTTTTCTAAAAGAGATAGAAGAGATAATCCAGTCAGAATATATGGTAAAGAGCAGCAACATTATCCAGATTGATGGGGGTGCAAGATTCTAACCCCCAAAGTCCTACTCAAGGTGTGTTCAGTCATCGATAAGTCTTCCTCTCTCCAAGCTCAGCCTTTGTATATACATGTACATATGACTGAAAAGATTCTGCATGCATCTGGCTGGCTGTCTGCTGGGACCACCTCACTGAGCCTGCTACCCCTCTTCAACTCAGGGTTATACACTTCCAGCATAACTAGGGGGCAGTTATGGTACAGTACGTCCTGGCATGAACAGAGTCCTCACCACCTTCAGCCTCCTTAAGGCTGTAAATTTAGAGCTATAGGACTAAAGCAAACATCAATTACCCAGACCTGTCTTGGTGTTACACGAGCAGCCCCTTTAAACCATCTCTAGATATTATCTATCAAGCACCCAATAGAGCCTACCTGAAGTCTTCAAGGTCCACAGGATCTCAGGAGAAAGCATCTGATTGCCCTGGTTGGGTTAGTTGTCCATCCCTGGTCCACTTTGCTATAGATCTGAGGTCGTGGAAATGTGACCCGGTGCCCATTCCAGCAGGAGTTTTGGGAGTAGATTTCTTAAGAAGGGTCCTTGCAGGACAGGGAAATTGACTAAAATGAACACAACTGCTTCTCCAGAGATTTTGAAGTTAAAGGAGTGAGAGGCTTTAGCACTCTGGGCAATTGTTATTCACAACAGATTTACGAAACAAGAGTGATTCTCCAGGAAGGATGGGATGTGGAAAGACACATGGGTGCTGCAGGAGACTCTTCATGCCCGTAGAGTTACGTGGTTATCTCTACATTATTCCTCTAGCCCATGTTGGCCCACATTTGCCTCCAGCTTCCCACTTAATCCTCAGTTGAATTTGAGGGTTCAAGCCTGAGAGGTCA